CAGCAGACTAAAGAGGCAAGATGTGGAGTATCATTTTCAGGATAGGTTTCAGGCAGTTTTAAACCCAAAACACTGGAGTTGCAGATTTGTAAAAATAAATGTGATACGAGACTTACTTTGTCTCTCAGAAGTGTTTAATTCATTTTTAAGAACGATAGAGGGCCCAATCAACAATAAAGGTGATTTCATCCCTTTGCCAATAACAACCCTGCAGCTTGCCTTCCTTTCTGTGCTGACAGCAGACAGCTTGGATGCAACAGCACTCATGGCACCAACTGGCACAATTCTCCAGCTGAACCAACTAATTCATCTCCTGGCATCTTCCACGAGGTATCCTATTAACTAGTGTAGCAAAACATCTGCTTCTGGGTGGTTTGTAAACAGAACATGTTTTCATTGGACTGACTGCTTTTCTAAGAAAAAAAAAATCTTGTACAGGTAAAAACCCATCCAGCAGACAGGTGTTTCAGAGCCCACAGCTCCCAGGTAAAGGAGCAGAGGAGCAGCAGCACAGAAGGATCCAGAGGTGCCCAGGGAGGTTCAAGTTGACTGTGTTTGGCAGGAATATTTGAAAACAAGCTGCTCTGCAGCTGTCTCAAGCCTGGAGCTCACCGAAAGGAAACGAGCTCCCCCTCCTGCTTCATTTTATACCTTGTCCGATCCAGGTAGAACCACACCACGCAAAAGGGAAGAGAGCAGATGGTAACGCCAGCCTAATGTCCCCCCAGTGGCCAGCACCAGGGCTCATTCCCTCCTCTGGCTGATGGAACCGAGAGCCAGGTCCTGCTCTCCCGCTCAGCAGGGGCACAGCTGGGATGAGGAGCCTTGGGGGGGGCAACACGTGCTGGTGACACCGGGTACGGCACCAGAGCCTGAGCCTGGGGACACCGGGTACGGCACCAAACCCTGGTGACACCGGGTACAGCACCAGAGCCTGAGCCTGGGGACACCGGGTATGGCACCAAACCCTGGGGACACCAGGTACAGCACCAGAGCCTGAGCCTGGTGACACCGGGTACGGCACCAAACCCTGGTGACACCGGGTACGGCACCAAACCCTGAGCCTGGGGACACCGGGTACGGCACCAGAGCCTGAGGTGCAGAGACAGCGGATCCCTCACCCTGAACAGCCTCCCCGTGCCACCTGCTGCCCCTCTGCCACTGCAGGCTCCACTGGACAAACACTGCTCAGCATCGAGTCATGGAATGCTGTGGGCTGGAAGGGTCCTCAGGAACCCCCCCTGCAGCCACAGAAACCACGCCAGTGACCAGGGCAGTACCAAAGGCACCTGTTCAAGGTGGGCAGCAGGAATGCAAATGGAAGGGACAGCAGAAGGCAAAACCGGAAAGAAAAAACAACCATGAGCTCATTTAGAGATGGCCAATAATAATAATAATAATAATAATAATAATAATAATAATAATGTTGTTTCCAATTTGCCTCTGTCAGGGAAAACAAAACAGAACTCTGCCCCAAGTCCCTTCATTTCAGATCCCATAGAAACACAGGGACATCCCTGTCACAATGGCATGTTGTGCTTGTGGATGTCTCTCAAACTCTGCAATTCACTAGGTTTTATTATCCCATTTTTTTGTTCTTAGCCAAAAGAAGCCCAAAACAAACGATCTGATGGGGCCTCCTTTTTTTTTTTTTTTTTTTTCCTCTGGAAAACACAAAGTATTTTTAAAGGAACTACTCTTATTTCTATTTTCCCTATCAACCTTCCCTTGACCTGTGACATGACACTAAAATTTTCAGCCTGCTTCACCAAGAGTCCCAAAGGGAAAAGGAAAGCACTGCCTCCAGCCCCCCCAGATTCACATCCCTCAACACGTGCTCATTTTTATCATTTGCAGAAGAAGTGCCATCACTTCTCCCGAGCCCATGCCTCACCTGGTAATGCTACTGAACTGAGCAACAGACATTCCAAAGGCAGAGGTGAGGATGCAGAGGAACCCACACAACCTGAGGAGAGAAAATATCGGCCCTGTGGTCTGAAGCAGCTTTGCAAGATGTGCAATGTGCAGCTACCCTGCAGCTAATGGTGCAAATACTGCTCAAGAGGAGCCTCCCTGCACACAAAGGAGGAGACTGAGCTCTTGAGCAAACCCTGCAACATTGAAACCACAGCTACAAGCCCAGAGAAGCATCTTTGTGCTCGCCTTTACTCCTGCCCTAACTCACCTCCTGAGCCCTGCCTTGCTGATTGGTTCCCACAGACAAACCCCACAAAGCAAATGGGAATTAGGGAAGCCTACAGTAAATGCAGCAGCTACACATAACAGCTCACCCAGGGGTACAAAGGTAGCCCAGGCCACTGGGTTATTTCAGGGCTTTTTGGCAACTAGAGCTTGAAGCTGCTGCTGTGAGAGCCAAGGAGAACACCACATTGTCACCCTGTCGGTCAGGGTGACACCCCCACCTACAAACTGAAAAAAGTCACTTATGCCTGAAGTAGAAGTTTGAAAGAGGATTGTACATGAAATACAGCAACAGCTGAACCACACAGCACACGTGTCCTCAGCCCACAAGCACTACCAAAGGTGTGTGATCCATGCTGGTAAATTATTTCGGGACAATCTCACTATGGCACAAACAGGGAAAAGCACCACAGAACAAGGAGGCTGCTCAGTGGTTCTACTGCTCACCAGTCACATTGTCAAAATCAGTGTTCTAAAAATATTTTTAACTCCTTGTACCAAAGCACCAAAAAAAAGAAAAAAAAAAAAAAAGAAAAAGTTTCTTACTTATGGTAGTCATTAATTTTTCTCAAGAGGCCAGAAAAACACGTAGCTAAATGTTTTAAAATGCACAGGCCAGCGAAACTGAGAGGGCAAGGGGCAAGAAAAAAAGAGCAGGGGGAACCAGCTGGGAGATGGAAGAAAGTGCTACAGCAAAGTATGGAACTCTCAGAGACTTTCGGGGAGTACTTCAGCTCTCCCCTCAAAGCCCTTTGGAAACGGAACTAAAACATCCCCCGCGAAGAACCGTCCACCTTGTAACAACATCCCCGGTCCCGCACTGCACGTACAGGACTGGGGCCCCTGGTAACAACACCCGCGGTAACCCACCCCTCCTAAAGGACCCGGGCTCTTGAAACAACTTCCAGGGTAAATCGCTGCACACAGAGCGCCAGGTCCCTTATAACGACACCCACAACAAAGCAGGGTCCCTTGTAACAGCGAAACACTTCCCCTTCTCATGTGCCCCCCCTTTTTCCACGCCCGTGCTCCCTGCCCTGTCCCCAGCGGCGCCAGGAGTTCGCAGCCTTGGCAAACTCACCTTCCCGGGCTGCAGCTGCCCAGGGATGCCGCCGCTATTCGAGCGCACGCCCGCGGGGGGTGAGGGATTCCCTCCGCCCGCCGCTCCCCCCGGCCCAGCCTCGGAGGGGTGGCGGCTCCCCAGGAGCACAGCTGGAGGCGATGCCGCCTGCCCCCCGAGCGTGGGACAGCACACCCGCCGTGACCCCCCTCTCTCCAAAGAGCTTCCACCGAGCAGTCACCGGAAAGACCCGAATCCCAGCATGTGGGGCTCTTTCAATGGTGCTGTGGAACACCTCCCTTTTCGGGTTGAGCAGCGGTCTAACAGCAGCAGGAGGCTGCCTTTGTCCACCCGAGCCTTGCCCCGAGCTCAGCTCAGCCCTCCAGAGGCCGCAGGACGGGTCATTCCCCGAGGAAGGGGGACTCACCGACGAGCCCCCTCACGGAACGGGCCCACAGCGCTGCCACCCACGGAAACGGAGCCGAGCCGAGCCGAGCCGAGCCGAGCCGAGCCGAGCCGAGCCGA